TTCAACTCATATTAATAAATCAAATATTTATAATATTTTTCATGCATATGAAAAATTATCCACTCATATGACTCAAAAATAAACAAAAGTTAAAGGTAGACATCGAAGAAAATCCTATTAACGTCCTACTAGTAGAATATCTAAATACAAAGAAGACATATTCAAGAACGACTCGAAAGAACATTTAACCTATTTAATACATTTAACTAAAAGTGTATTTCGTAATTTTATATGTTTTTTAACTAACTAGTCAATTTTCTCAAAAACCTAAAATTTAACGGTTTTTTCAAAGTCTAATTCATAATAAAATAAATAATAAAATTGTTAATAATTCACTAAATAATCCTAAATTATTTATCAAACCAATTTGCAAAGGGACTAATATGGAATTTATCATATTTTGAAGGGTCAAATTGTAACTTTTGTCAAATTGAAGGACTAAAAAAAATATCATAAATTTATGACTATAGTGGAATTATGTTTATAATTCATCCTCAATTCTGTCCAGAATCTCTAATTATACTCTAAGGACCATTCTAAAAATTTTCCAAATTATAAAAACAATACATGACATTATTATATCTGAGAATGATCTATAGATCAAGTCATAGCTTTCCAGCCTATATACTGATTTTGTTAAGAAAGAAGAAACAAATAACTTTCTGATGCAAATAAACAAGGCAAGATAAGCAATATCAGGATCCTTGATCAAACACAAAGCATACTTAATTTGCAAGATAATTTAAAGGAAAATAAATATAATCATGTAAAGATTTAAAAGTTTTAAGAAATGAACCTTGAAATTGAAATTTGTATTAATGCAAAGTTGTGATAATTTGTAGGAGATATGGGTTACAAGTTTTTAGAATTGATACAAAGGTAAAATTATAGAGGAATATGATTTGTCTATAGAGAAAGTAGATAAATAGTTGTATCTTGTTGTGCCCTGAAAATGGAAAGAAACCCCCTTTTATAGAGAAGGGAAGCCTTTGCTTTTGTGGTAGTGGGGAACATCTTTTGCAAATGGATGGTGCCTTTTGCAATAATGGGAGACACCTTTTTTAAATGGATGACATCTTTTTTCAGCAATAAGAGACACTTGAGTCGAAAGTATTTTGTAAGTTTTTGCCGACACTTTTTTTTTAGTGTCTTTTGATAGGTGGCAGAATGCCAAAATAGTCATCTTCATTATTGTCTTCAAGGGATATGGCAGGAGATGTTGAGTCAAATGAGTTGGATTGGGACAAGATCGTTTTAGGGTCGTGGCTTTATATAATGTTTTGCACGATTTGGAGGTATTCTTCCTTAGTTCTAACAGAGGTAAGGAGAGCTATCGTTTGAGCCTTTTAGACTAGAAATTTGGATTGAGGATGATGATTAATTATGGGAGCTATTTGATTCTTTTGTAACCATTCCATAACAACTAATTTGGAATTTTAAATTCAGCTACAAAGGAATTCCACCATTTAATTTTGAATTTACGAACAAGAACTAGATGTCTGTTTTGAAGATTGTATTAATATAACCATGAACATACCCATGGAACAAAAAACTTTGTACATAAAATGAGGAGGGAAGAAAACTTCCGTTCAAAAGGAGTTGGTTAAAAATTATTTTTTGAAATGGAGTTAACCATTTTCAACCAAAGGGTAGTCTTTGAGGTAGTCTATATGACAGTTGAAATAGTCCCACCATTGGAGGAACCAAAAGGGAAGGTTTGTAGTTGTCATGGTGTTATGGAAGTAGAAAAGCCAGGAGTGGCTGTGATTTGTGTTTTAGGTGAAAAAGGCATTAAACTAGGCTTGCTGGTAATCCCAGTAAGTATATGTACCATAATCCTAGTTATTTTGCTGGAGGGGTGTTGGGAGGGTTAACCCCAATCTGAAGGGTGGATGATTTTGTTATGATGCATGTGAAATATACTGATTCAGATGGTTTGAATGGATTTTGAAATGTTTAAATTTGACAGAGTTTGTGATTTCAAGGATGGCAGCATAGTAGGATTGAGATTTTGTTAAATCTCAGGGTTTGAAATGTTAATGTGGAGGGAATAGTTATGAAGTTGTAATGGAAGAGTTTTTATGATAAAAGCCTTCTTTCATGGTTAAAATATTTTGGAATTTAGTTTTGAAAATGTGTTGTGATTTAGATTTGGAAAAGCTTTGGTGAGGAGTTTGTAAAACAAGCAGGGGTTTTTGAGGAGGAAAATCTACTTATGGTTTTTAAAAGGGTTTAGAAATACTACCTATGGGTGACTCATGGTCACTGAAGGTCTGTTGGGAGATTTTTTTGTAAAGTTAGATGTAATTCTAGTGATTTGGAGAGAGTGTTAACCCAATATTGAATTGAGTCTATTTGTACTGGTGATTGTGTTGTAGTTTCTTATTCTTCAACGACTGCCTCATACCAGGATTTGATAGGTTTGACAACTAAAATGGGTAAAGACATGAGTTTTGTAGAAGGATTTAGGCTTTCTGGTTTTATAAGCTAAGTTTGGGGAGCTTTTCCTTTGTCTTTGGATTTTTTCTTAGGAGGCATGAGGACCTATTTTAAAGGAATTCACAGGGTTAGGGAATCAAGGATGGAATTGGAATCTCTTTTAATGTATACAATATCGAAATAAAAAATGCTTAAAATAGCTTGCTATTAGGAAAAAATCTATTTTGAAGCAAGATTTTGGACTTTTTTTGTAAAACTTCTTTTGCAGATTTACAATCAACACGCAAGAGGAATTTTTTATTTAATAAATCATTTTGAAATTTTATAACACAAAGAACAATTGAAAAAATCTCCTTTTTGATAGTGGAGTGTGTTTCTAGCAACCATTCCAATGGGCTGATGTATACTAGAGGATTTGTTATTTGTTATCTTAGATTGTTTATCCTGGGTTTGAGGCATCGATCTCGAAAATTTGAGGAGCTAATGTGTTAGCAAGATGGAGGAGAGGAATGGTTTGGACCTATTTCTTGATTTGTTTGACAAGGTTGGTATGGAGGTCAGACCAAGGAACTGTGATGGTTTATAACCTATCATATAAAGGTTTGACAAGATGAGTAATGTTTGGATAATAGTCTAAAATATAATTAAGACTCTCTAAAATCCTTTGTAACTGAGTTTTATCAGTAATCTTATCAAGAAATTTATTTGTAAAAGATAAAGATCTCTCTATGCGTGTTACAATACCTTGACAAATATAATATCTTAGGAAACAGACATGGGTTTGAAATAGAATTTTTTATTTATTTAGAAACAACTAAACCATTTTGTTTTGCACTATGAAAAAAATATATATAGGTGTTTGAAATGTTGATATATGGAATGAGAAAATATAAGAACATTATCAAGGCAAACAATACAAAATTTTAAATATGCATTGAAGATGTCATTCATAATGTGTTGGAATTCATATAGTATATTTTTCAACCCAAAAGATATGACATTCCATTCGTATTGAGCAAATAAAACAGTGAATCTAGTTTTGTATTGATCCTTGGGATCAATTTGGATTTGCCAGAAGCCAAATTTCATATCAAATTTGGAAAAGATAAATGCAGAATGGCAGAATGTAATTTTTACAGTAAATCTTTTTGGTTTGGAATTGGATACCTGATCCATATTAAAGCAGAATTTAAAGGTTTGTAATTGATCACAAGTCTTGGTGTGCCCTTTTCAATCTCAAAGTTTTTATTTACATAAAAGGATGCACACAACCAAGGTGATCGGGACTTTTAGATAAGATCTTTAGACTCGAAATCCTCAATTTCAAGTCTACAATGCTGTTATAAATCAACATTCATCTGTATCGGTCTCGCTTTTATAGGTATATATTTTTCTAAAAAAGTATCGTCATAAGGAAGATCAGCAATGTATTGTTTTCTTTTTCAAAAAGCATTGAGTAGGTCAGAACAGATTTGTTGTTCAATCTTACTTTGTAAATGAGCGATTTTCTTTTGTAAAATAGAATTTTATAATTGTTTTTCAATGCGACAAAAGAAAACATGGTTTCGTAAATCAAGCAACTGGAATTGTTTACCATGAATTAATACGTTTATATGATATGTATGGATAACGCATGCTTTGATCAAATTTAAATTCCTTGTTTTAGATTTTTCTAGAAAAGAAAAAACAAGTTTGATGCTTTTGACTTTGAAGGTAATGTAGTTATGATGTGCTTTGTATGGAGTAATTGATTAGTACTTAAAAGTGCATTTTTATCATGGTTTTATATTATCATTTTGCACTTGAAGTATCAATAACTCGTTAACTAAAGCATGTTTTATAATAATATATCTAATAATATAAGATACCTATAATTTGTGGTAAATGTCTATTTTTAATGCAGGCCTATCACATAAATGAAAGGATTGATTGATGACTTGAAGAACATAAATTGCAAGGATAAAGAG